CAGAACTTCCAAAAGAAGACTCAAGGTTTCACAGCAGCTTGCACTGCTTCACAGCTGGGCCTCATCTAGGCACCTCCAAATCCCAAACAAAGAAGAGGAATCTGCAGATCTCTCCATAGCTCGTTCTGGGTAGCCTCAGGCAGAGGCTAAATTAGCACCTCCTTAGAGATCCAAGAGCCAGTGTATCCAGTGGTCAGATTGGGACATCCAGATTACAACTCCTCAGATCCATAAGGGGCACAATCAGGGGGAAGACTCAGTGAGCACCAAAGCCCCACTGAAGCAAATCTTGCCCCAGAAGGGTGTCTCCAGCACAGAAGTTCCCCCACTGTAGACACAGCTGATTCTCACAGCCAATTGGCCTGGAGGTAAATTCCTCCCAGTGATATCTACAACAATCAAGGCTTAACTACAACAAGACTGTGCACAAAGCCCACAAGGGGGTGCACCAAGAGTGTTTACCTCAGGTAATTGGGGAGGCTGAGCCACTGGGCCCTATAGGACACCTAGCACAGAAAGCCACTCTATCAACACAGCAAAGCATAAAAAGTGCAGAGATAATGAAACAGGTCACAAATGACAGAAATGGAGGAAAGCAAACTACTGGATATAGAGTTCAAAACCACACTTTTAAGGTTTTTCAAGAATTTTCTAGAAACCACCGATAAACTTAATGAGACCCTCAAGAAATCTAATGAGACCCTCGAGGTTGTGATAAAGGACCAACTAGAAATTAAGCATACACTGACTGAAATAAAGAATATTATACAGACCCCCAACAGCAGACTAGAGGACTGCAAGAATCAAGTCAAAGATTTGAAATACGAAGAAGCAAAAAACACCCAACCGGAAAAGCAAAATGAAAAAAAGAATCCAAAAATATGAAGAGAGTATAAGGAGCCTCTGGGACAGCTTCAAGCGTACCAACATCAGAATTATCGGGGTGCCAGAAGATGAGAGAGAGCAAGATACTTAAAACCTATTTGAAGAAATAATGCCAGAAAACTTCCCCTACCTGGTGAAAGAAATAGACTTACAAGTCCAGGAAGCGAAGAGAACCCCAAGCAAAAGGAATCCAAAGAGGACCACACCAAGGCACATCATAATTAAAATGCCAAGAGCAAAAGACAAAGAGAGAATCTTAAAAGCAGCAAGAGAAAGAAACTCAGTTACTTACAAGGGAGTACCCATACGACTCTCAGCTGATTTCTCAACAGAAACTATGCAGGCCAGAAGGGAGTGGCAAGAAATATTCAAAGTGATGAATAGCAAGAACCTACAACCTAGATTACTTTATCCAGCAAAGCTATCATTCAGAATTGAAGGTCAGATAAAGAGCTTCACAGATAAGAAAAAGCTAAAGGAGTTCATCACCACTAAACCAGTATTATATGAAATGCTGAAAGGTATCCTTTAAGAAGAGGAAGAAGAAGAAAAAGGTAAAGATACAAACTATGAACAACAAGTACACATCTATCAACAAGTGAATCTTAAAAAATCAAGTGAATAAATAATCTGATGAACAGAATGAGCTGGTGAATATAACAGAAACAGGGGCATAGAAAGGGAGTGGACTGACTATTCTCAGGGGGGAAGGGGGTGTGGGGGGTGCGGGAAGAGACTGAACAAAAATCGTACACCTATGGATGAGGACAGTGGGGGGGGGCAAATGGGTGGAGGGGAGCTCTGGCGGGGCAAAGAGGAACAACTGGAATAATCTGAATAATAAAGATTTAATTTTTTTTTTTTATTGCTTAAAGTATTACAAAGAGTATTACATATGTCTCCTTTTTTTCCCCCCGCCCTTGACAATCCCCTGGCCTCCCCTACCCCCCAGTGTCTTATGTCCATTGGTTATGCTTATATGCATGCATACAAGTCCTTTGGTTGATCTCTTACCCACCCCCCTCCTGCCCTTCCACCCTCCCCGGCCTTCCTGCTGTAGTTTGACAATCTGTTCGAGGCAGCTCTGCCTCTATAACAGATTTAATTTAAAAAAAAAAAAAAGAAAGAAAGAAATTGGGTGTCACCACAACATGAAGAACTGTATTAAAGGGTCGCGGCATTAAGAAGGTTGAGAACCACTGCTCAAGAGGCAGCTTCATCTCTGATGTTCTCTTCCCCAACTCCCTTTTTCAAACAACCATCAATTCTTACTGATTATTCCTTCAAAAAGTCTCGTATGTGAACGATTTCTTCCCATTACCCAGTTCAGACCCCTATTAGTGCACATCTGAATTATTATCACACTGCAGCCTGATTCATCTTTCTCTGGCTCACTTGGATCCCATCACTTCCTGCTACTTTCTGCCAAATGAAGGCAACATTCTGATATTGCTCTTAAAGCCCAAAATAATCTGGACTCAAATTATCTGTGATTCACAGAACATACCTTGAGATGTCTAGTCTCTCATCCCATGTCCTCCTTTTCCTTTCTGCTTACAGAAATTCTGTCAATTTTTTAAAGAACCAACCTAAATTCTACTTCTTCATAAACACTTCTCTGATTCTAGAGATCTTCCTCACTTTTCAGAGAATAATGATAGGGAACTTGTCTATCAACTATCAAAATATATCGTAAGGGCATATTAAGAACAGTTTTGGTATTAACATAAGACAAATAGATCAACGTTAACTGGATAGAGTCCAAATATAAACCCTGCCTGTATGGGAATCCATCTAAATATATATAAGCCTAAGCAACTGATCAACCGTTTGACCATTCGACCAGTAGCTGTGACACGCACTGACAACCAAAGGGCAGATGCTCAACGCACAGGCATGGAAACATGGAACAGACTGATAAATCTCAGAGGGAAGCGGGAAGGATGGGAAAGTCTTAAGATCTTATAAGCATACTAGAGACCCAGTACACAGATTCATGCACCAGTCGGGTCCCTTGGCCTGGCTTGTGAAAATCAGCTGAAACCGGCAGTCCAACATCCCCCAAGGGGTCCCAGATTGCAAGAGAAAGCAGGCCAGGCTGAGGAACCCCACCAGTGCACGAATCGTGCACTGGGCCTCAAGTTTAATAATAATAATAAGGTGATATTTCAAATCAGTAGGAAAAGGGTGACCTATTCTATAAATGTTAGGACAACTGGCAATCTATTCATAGAGAAAAAAGGAAATTTAAATCCCTACTCATATTTAACACTTTAAAAGTACTGGAAAAAATATAGAATATGTTTATGACCTATTATAGAATAGGGAAGAGATATAAATGCATAAAGGAAAAGACTGATTAAAATTTCCATACAATAAAAAACAGTAAACAAAATTAAAAGACAAGTTATAGGCTGGGGGAAAAGTTTGCCTCAGACATGGTATCCAAAGGATGCATATTCAGAATATATACACAAGTCCTTTAGATCAACATAAAAAATGACAACAGAAATTTGCACAGAAGTATCAAAGGAGAAGAAATGCAAAGATCCAATGAAAATATAAAACAACATTCAACTATGCCAGTAACCAGGGAAAATAAAAATTGAAAAAACACTGAGACCATTTTTTATTAGGTTAGTAAAAAATTTAAATGCTAATAATATTAAAAAGAGATATTGTGGGCAAAGGTGTAATTTGACATACTGATGGCATATAGGTTTGTTCTGCTGTACTAACAATTACTGTGTGTTTTTTTGTTTGTTTTTGGTTTTTGTGTGTGTGTGTGTGTTTATCAATTAATTGTAGGCGCCACTGCACTCGGACCAGCCAACAATTAATGTTTTAAATGCAACTATCTTATGACCCAATAATTTCATGTTCCTTGAAGAAACAAGGTGCACAAAAAGGCAATTGTGCTACAAAAAAAGCAATGTTACTACAATGATGTAATAGTAAAAAACTGGAAACAATGTAAACGTCCATCACTAAGGAAATGGTTATAATACATACAATATTCAATACTATGAAACTTAAAGAAATGAATATAGAAGACAGCTAAGGAAAAATCTCTAAAACATATTGTTGCCTGCATCACTAAGACCAATACCAAATGATAATATTTATGTAAATAAAATATATTTCTAAGAATACACATTCATAGGAATAAAATTTAAAAAATTCTGAACAGGTATATACCAAATTGGTAGTAGTGATTATCTATTAAGCAGTGAATGGGCTTGGGAGGTGATTATAAGAAATTAAAACACTATTTATAATAATAAAAGTGTAATATGCTAATTAGACCAGATGACCATCTGGGACCACACTATGACACCCACTGGCGCCAGGCCAGCCAAAGCAAGTGCGATGCAACTGGTCGGGGGCTCGGCCATCGCCCCATCACCAGGCCTCTACTGAGATAATAAATATTTATTATCATTTTAAGTCACTAAGCTTTGAGGCAATTTGCTACATAGCCAATTACACTTTATCTATAGATATATGTTTACCTTTTGTAAATACATATATTGCCTTTTAACAAATAATGTGTTTTTAAAACCTCTTGCCCAAACATAATTTACTCATTCAAATTATATTAAAGCATGGTTTCATCAAGATTCTGACAAAGGTAAAAAATAATTATTAAGTCAGCAAAACACGTTTTGTTTAAAAGAGCAAAAATAAAAAGGAAATATATTTTTGGCTAATTCTTCTAAGTCTTCCGTTAACCACCACCCCTTGTTGATGTCGTTTAACTACATTAGTTCATTGGCTTAAAAACAGATTTTAATGAAATACTTTTTTAAAAAATATATTTTATTGATTTTTTACAGAGAGAAGGGAGAGAGATAGAGAGTTAGAAACATCGATGAGAGAGAAACATCGATCAGCTGCCTCCTGCACATCCCCCACTGGGGAAGTGCCCGCAACCCAGGTACATGCCCTCGACCGGAATCGAACCTGGGACCCCCAAGTCCACAGGCCGACGCTCTATCCACTGAGCCAAACCGGTTTCGGCTGAAATACTTTTTAAAAGCTGAAGACAGACAGAGGCATAAATGATCCACTGAAAAGCAGTTAGCATAGTCACAAAGCCACTGATAAGTTCTTACCACCATAAAAGCGAAGCATGCAGCCGAGGTCGGGATTTGCTGCCTCCTCCTGTACGCGCACAGGGTCGTCATAGCCCAGCCTGGATAAGTAATCATAAACTATCTGAAGAGGTCGTTCGGTGGGTTCCAGTCTCCTGCTTGCACAATTCAAAAGAAAAATATTTAGTAACTAATAAAAATGCTTCATCTCATTTTTTAAATCTTTTATTATGTTTTAGATGTTCAGTTCTATATCAAGATCTTCTTTAATATCATATAATCTAAGTAAGCGGTACTGAAAGTTTTTGGTCCCATTATCCCTCTGTGGTCTTTGAGGACCCCAAAGAGCTTTTGTTTACATAGGGGTTGATATCTACTGAATTAAAAACTAAAATTAAGAATTTCCAAACTTTTGTTTATTCGTTTCCTGATTTTTTGTTTATTCTTTTTTTTTTTTAATGCTACCATGCAACAAAACTTTTATTAACATTTTGAACAGATTCAGTTATTACTGAACTGGTAATTTCTAAACTTAAATTGGGGCAAATGGCTAGAATGCAGAGTAGTGCCATCACTGGCACTATGAATGCAAAACTGAAGAATTAGCAGCCACCCCATTTATTCATTTTTAAGCAACAATAATAAACCAATGATGTTAACATAAATAATATTCTTTGAAAAATATCTTTTCCAAAATGAATCAACTCTGGAGAAAAGAATAGCACTGTTTCACATTTTTGTAAATTGCTAATTAAATAGAAAGCAGCTAGATTCTCAGATCTGCTTCTAAAGTCAATCTGCTATGGTAACATGCTATTTACCCTCTCTAGAACTCTTCTGTACATGCATGAGAGACTGAAAGTAAAAAAAGAAAATCAATGTCTTATTATTATTATGAAATAGTTTTGACCTCACAGATCTCTTCAAAGAGTCTCAGGGACCCCTACAAGGTCCATTAAGAACCTCTGGTCCAAACTTAAAGGCGGCAAATTTACGAGATATAAAAGATTATACATGGTCATATCTGATTTCACATAAGCTACACACACAATTAGAGCTGCAGACTTTGGATTGCCTACTATTTTCCAGGAACTTTGTATTTCCATTGGCTTCATAGTCACTTCTTCCAAAAAAATTAGGAATAAAATGGCCCAATAAGTCCCCAGAAATCATTATACTGCATGATCCTGACTGAAAGCTAAAATAAAATCAGAATGTCGAGTAACCATTCGTGGCTCCTGGTGACACAGCATATTTTAAATCACATAGACTTAAAATACTTAAAAATATTTAAAAAACAAAATTATCAATATGTATTTTTATGGCCAGGGCTACAACAGTAATAAAAACAAACAACTCTTTTACAATTCTTTTATAAGAAAACAAAAAGTCAGAAATACAGTGGCTAAGAGTATAGGCTCCAAAAGTCAGTTCTGCCACTTAACTACATGCCCTTAGACAAGCTGTTTAATCTCATTGTCTTAAATTCTTCATCAGTCTAATGGAAATAACAACAGTACCTAACTCATGCAGTTGTTTTTAAATTTATTTACTTACAACAAGATATTACACAGTATGTAAAGTACAGTACTTAGAAAAATATCTTGTATGTAGTAGTGTTCAATAGCATATCAACAATTAATATTTAAAAAATCTTTGGACTGGAACCAAATTTTACTTAGAATAAAAACAGAATATTCCCCACCTGAAAGAAACAAAAAACAGGTGTAGGAAAGTCTATGTATACTCAAACGGTTTTGAAGAACCTTAGTCTTTATGTCTTAAAAGGATTCTGTTTAGAAAACTTAAGAATTGTATTAATTAGAAGCAACACAATACACCTCCCCAATCATGGCAAAAATATATGAAGGACAACTGTTTTGTGGTTAAAGAACTAGGAAATACTGTTGCCAGTAAGATTTAAGTAACAACATGAATGCTACAAAGCTGAAGGTGAAGAAATGCATCAAAATGACAACTGAGGAAGGAGCCCAGCCACAGGGGCGCAGTGGCTGAGCATTGACCTTTGACCCAGGAGGTCACTGTTCCGTTCTCTGTCAGGGCACATGCCCAGGTTGTGGGCTCAATTTCTAGCAGGGAGTGTGCAGGAGGCAGCCAATCAATGATTCTCTCTCATCATTGATGTTTCTATCTCTCTCTCCTTCTCTTCCCCTCTGAAATCAATAAAAACATACTTTTTAGAAAATGATAATTGAGTAGTGGAAATCATACTGATGAGCACAAGAAAATAAACTAAACTAAGGCTAAAATAAATAAGATAAAATAAAACAATCACCTGGCCCCTCTGACTGCTCAGTTCAGACTTTTATTTTCTATAAACTCGGAACTACTACATGGAGAATGACCAAAGAATTAAAAGCCTACGAAGACCAATAAATGTTGAATTTAATCGAAACAAAAAATAATCTTTTCAGGATAAACACATCAATTACAATTAATCTCTAGTCAGATGAAATAAAAATTCACCAAGGGCTATGACAGTAGTAGGCATTTTCTCCACACAGTGGTAGAATTCTTCTAAGAAAGATGCATTTTAAGAGGGACTTCTAATAAACTGTCTCCTGGAAAAGTCAATTAGCCATGTAATATGAAAACCGACTGAAGGATTAACTTGAAGACAAAGAATCCAAGGGCGTAAAGAGCTATCTATATCTTCCAGTGTCAAAAGGAATTAGATTTACTCTGTATTGCTCCAAAGAATGGAACTAGGAAGAATGAGAAGTTGTTGCACAGGTAAACGAGTTAAAAATGAGGAAGAATATTGGAGCTGTCCATAATGAAACAGACTGCCTCTCAAAATAGCTCACAGAGCTAGGAAGCCATCTGTCACCAATATTTTAAAAGACTCCTTAAGAATCACATTGGGCCAGCTCATCTTTAAGGTCTTTTAGAACTCAAGCGTCTATTCCATTCCCAGGATATCTTCCTAATATAACCCTGCTATTATTTTTGGATACAGAGTTTCATGTACTTAAATATCAAAATTCCATATAATGATCACATATTCAGGACCAAGAAATAATACTTTCAGGTTAAATCTCACTAGCTCAATTTTTCAACTTCTCTCTAGAAAATCCAAGGGAAATGGAAACATCCTAATTCTAATATTCAAATGATCAAATTTCCTTTCCTAAAAAGGCTCTGTAGATTGATGTATTATAGAACTATACATCTGAAACCTATAATTTTATTAACCAATGTCACCCAATAAATTCAGTAAAAAATAAAATTTAAAAAAAGGCTCTGTTGATTTTGAAACCTCTCTATATTATAATTTCCACCTAAAGAAAGTATTTTCTTTGGTGGGAGAAAAAAAAATCAAAAGGATCTCCACATCTGCTCTTACTAATTTAGCATAAATGAGTAAACAAGAAATATTTCAAGAACAGCAAAAACAAGTAAAATGAGGGACTAATTCCATTTACTTATTAAACTCATCTGCTTAAAAGAGTAGAGAGTAAGGGGGAGGGAAATGCTGTAATATGCTTACAGATCAATTTTGTGTTTCAAAGTTCCAAAAGTTTAACAGGCTGGTAATCAGCTATTGTTAAAACTCTCACATATCAAAGGAAAATTATACACGGTACTGTTAAACAGGTGTAGGAGAGAGTAATGTTGGCAATGAAAGGATCACAACACTCAGCATTTGAAATATTCTAACTTGCTTTAAAGAAAGACAGTAAGACTACTGAAATAGTCTTAGTTTGCTTCTAAGGTTTCTAGGAGCTACCATGTCCTTGTGAATCTGAATATATATGCATATGGTTATTTCTCAACCAATACAGTAATGCTATCAACACTGGTTTATAGTTCTTAACTAATAGTAGCCAACAGTTATTTTAAATAGTAGTATCCACAATTAAGAGAGGAATAAATTTCATTCCAACTAACATTTCACAAGAATTTTTAGTTAAGACCCTAGCCCAGTGGTCGGCCCCTTGAGTGTGGCTCTTCCACAAAATACCACGTGCGGACATGCACGTACAGTGCAATTGAAACTTCGTGGCCACACTCAAGGGGCCAAAGAGCCACATGTGGCTTGCGAGCCGCAGTTTGCTGACCACTGACCTAGCCAGTTTGGCTCAGTGATTGGAATGTTAGCCTGAGGTGTGAAGGGTCTCGGGTTTCATTCTGGTTAAGGGCACATACCTCGGTTGCAGGCTTGATCCCTGACCCCAACCAGGCCGAGTGTGGGAAGGCAACCAATCAATGTGTCTCTCTAGCACAGTGATAGCGAACCTTTTTGGGCTCAGCGTGTCAGCATTTTGAAAAACCCTAACTTAACTCTGGTGCCGTGTCACATATAGAAATTTTTTGATATTTGCAACCATAGTAAAACAAAGACTTATATTTTTGATATTTATTTTATACATTTAAATGCCATTTAACAAAGAAAAATCAACCAAAAAAATGAGTTCGCGTGTCACCTCTGACACGCGTGTCATAGGTTCGCCATCACTGCTCTAGCATAAGTGTTTCTCTCTCTTTCTCTCCTACCCTTCCCCTCTCTCTAAGAAATCAATGGGAAAAATAACCTCAGGTGAGGGTTAACAAGAACAAAAAACTGTTATTAATAATAGTGAGAGGCAAAAGTTCATATTATTGAAATCCAAGAAAGGGAATAATACAGTATATCAATGACCCTAACAAAACAGTGCAGTGCTCTCAACATCAAATTCAGACTAAAACTCAATCCCTGGCCACCTATAAAGTAAAATCTGCAAATGTTAAGATCAGCAATATAGATTAATAAGACAAACAGCAACAATAAGGATACTTCAATGTCTACTCCATGACTGACAATAGGCTAGAAGTGTTTTACATTTTACAAGGCTATGCCTATTTTGCAAAAAAGAAAAATGTGGCTGAGAGAGTCACATAATTACTACATAATGGTATCAAGGCTTCCACCTGTGCTGGTTTCATTACAAAACCTACCTTCTTTTAGGCAAACCACATTATTTTACATAGTTAAAATAATTTACACAGAAGAGAATGCAAAGCACTTCATATGTTAACTTATACCAAAGAACCTAAAAACTTGTTTTAAATTACTGTGTTCCATTAAGTCTAATACACTATTATTTGAAAAATACGCTGTTTTTGTCCTGGCTTGTATAGTTCAGTGGGTTGG